TTTTATTTAAAATTCATTAGAGATTAAATTTAATTATTAAAATTAAAATTTTAATATTTTATTAACAACTGTTATTAACAGTCTAGCTTCTATGGTTACATGATTTTTTAACTTATTTTTTCGGCCATCTTTTAAACTTATTCTAGTGTCAAGCCTTAATATCGAAAATTTATGTCTGACAAAAGTTTTCTGTGGTTAATTTCTGCATTCATACTTTGGAGCTTACGGAATAAGACTTGTAGGTCCCAAATGTTTCCATTGGCGAATCATTTTCGTGGGAGGTCCAAAATTACAAAATAACAAATTTTAAAAACGTTAGGAATATTGACTCAAATCCCATAAGAGATTTGTTTGAGATTTGTTTGAGATTTGTCAGATATTGCTTGATGGACAAAAAGACTTGCAAAAGAAGAATTATAAGAGAAAGAAGATTCTTAATAGGCAAGTTTAACTTACAGGAGAAGAATTCTAAGAGTAGAGAGATTCTTAATGGGCAAGTTTGTATGATTATAAATAGGTGAAGTCTCTACAAGGTTAAGTATGAGAAAAAAATGTAAGAGAGTTATAGGGTTTTGTGGGATAGACACCCCATAGGAGTATTGGGGCTCTACGTCTTATAGGTGTGTATGTTTGTTTGTAAGTGGACTAGAGGAGACTGAGATGGTCCACATAGGTATGATGTATGAGAGCATATGAGTATGTATTTGGTTATGTTGAAAGGATGCACAAGGGTTTGGTGTTGTGTTTATTTGAGTTGAGAATACTCCATAGGACTAGAGGAGATTGAGAGTGTCTTATGAGTATTGATTGTTGAGTGAGGTTGATGATTTGATGTATGTTTGTAATTCTCTACAACTAGTGAATCTTGTTTCTCATCCATGGATGTAGGTCAGTTGGACCGAATCATGTTAAATTGTTGTCTCTTATGTGTTTGATTTATTGTTTGATTTAGCTTCCGCTGGTATGATTGGATTGGAGGCTTTTAGCCCAACAAATGATATCAGAGATGTGGTGTTCCCCAACAAGTGGTATCAGAGCTGAAAGTTCAAAACGTGAGAAGAGTTGAAGATTCAAGATGTGGACAGAGCCGAAGGTTCGAGACATGAGAAGAGTTAACAGTTCGAGATATGGGAAGAGCTTGGTTTGATACATGAGATGAAGTAAGCTTAGAGGAGCTCGATTCAAGAGAAGAGTTCGAGTTTAAGTTTTAAAGATTGATGATTGATTTGTATGAAGCGTGAAGACACAAGAGAAGAGAAGATGATTGTGAGACTTTCATTACAGGTGGAGCCAAGCATGTCTAGCATGAAGACAGATGATTGATGAAATTTGAGTCAAGGTGAAGATTGTTGAGAATATTGACTCAAATCCCATAAGAGATTTGTTAGAGATTTATTTGAGATTTGTCAGATATTGCTTGATGGACAAGAAGACTTGCAAAAGAAGAATTCTAAGAGAAATAGGATTCTTAATAGGCAAGTTTGACTTACGGGAAAAGAATTCTAAGAGTAGAGAGATTCTTAATGGGTAAGTTTGTATGATTATAAATAGATGAAGTCTCTACAGGATTAAGTATAAGAAAAAGATGTAAAAGAGTTATAAGATTTTGTGAGATAAACACCCCATAAGAGTATTGGGACTCTACGTCTTATGGGTGTGTATGTTTGTTTATGAGTGAACTAGAAGAGATTGAGAGAGTCCACATAAGTATGATGTATGGAAGCATATGGATATGTGTTTGGTTATGTTGAAAGGGTACACAAAAGTTTGAGTTTGTGTTTATTTGAGTTGAGAATACTCCATAAGACTAGAGGAGATTGAGAGTATCTTATGAATATTGATTGTTGAGTGAAGTTGATGATTTTATGTATGTTTATAATTCTCTACAACTAGTAAATCTTATTTCTCATCCGTGGATGTAAATCAATTGGACAGAATCACGTTAAATTATAGTCTCTTATATGTTTGATTTAACTTCCGCTGGTGTGATTGGATTGGAGGCTTTTAGCCCAACAAAAAAAAATTTTAATAGATATTTCAAAATTTTTTCATAAATATTTTTACAAATTAAAAAAATTAAAAAAAATTAAATACTCTTTTTGTTGATTAGATTAATAAATATATAATTATTTTTACATATATTATAAATAAATATCTCTAATAAATTTTTTAAATTTCCACCGTCTGTTTGACGAAGCATCATATTCCCTAAAATGTCCAATGTTGCCAGAATTTGAATGCCCTATTTTTAAATACTACTAGTATTATCGATGATGACTACTAAATCTAAAGGCAATAAGGATTCAATAGAATTTGTTTCAATTATTTTTATTAATGTATAATATTTTCAAATTTAATTTGACTTGATTTTTTAAAAATTAAATTTGATTTATTAATTTTATAAATTAAACAAAATTATTATTTTTATATTATTGTTAACATATTTAAATAGTTATTATTAATAGATTATTATTAATATATTTAAATAATTATTAATAATATATTTAAAAATAATAAATTATTAATATTATTTAAATTTATTAAAATATAAAATAATTATTTTATATTTTATATAAAATATAAAATATAAAATAAAGTAAAAAGCCAAACAGGAACAATAAATAAGATCTCAAAAATCAAAATAATCAGACATGGAAACAATATTAAAGATCAAGTGAACAACTCATAAGATGCAAGCAATATTAAAGATCAAGTGATCAACGCATAAGATGCTAAATAGTTAAAAAAAAAAAAAAAGTTAACGGAAAACAGGAACAAACCCTTTCGGATTTAAGCAAAAGAAAAAAAAAAAAAGGACTGACAGAGATCTTAACATGGGAAAATTCAAACCTAAAACAAGGAAAACAGGAATCAATAAGAACTGGGTATTGAAATATAGATCAAGATCAAAACATGGTGATGCGTAATCATCAGCCTTTGATATGCTTGACTTTATACCAGCCCTTCTTGCATGAATCTCCCACGATCTTTACACCTTTCTTGAGGAAAACCTTAAGCTCTTTGGCTCTATCCTTTAGCTGCTGCTCGAAACCTGCCATTGAAACAAAGGAGAAGAGATGAATGGAACTAAAGAGCTCCGGTGATAGGAGATGTTTAAGGTAGTATTTTGCTTAAGCTGCGTGTGTTGGTGTAAACTGCTGGAAAAGGAAACTAGACTCTTAGCTGTTTTTAAGCCGACGGGGAGGGGAGCTAGGTCTCTGGGATCCACCGCATCACGATACACGTGGCAGCCATTTAGTGGGCTGTGTATTTTTATTTTGAAAGGGATAATACTTCGACATACCCTCAAATTTAAGGGAAAAATGCAATTAAACTTATAATGTTTAATTGCGTAAATATAAACTTTAAGATCATATCACATATAATTATCATAATATAATTAATTAATTATAATTTAATATTATGTAAATTTCATAAAAAATTATATAAAATTTATATCTTTAAATAATGAACTCTTAGATAATTATTTTTTGTGATTGATTAATTGAAGAATTGTAACAAATAAAATTCTAAATAAAATGCTCCCACCTTGAATTTTAATTTTCTAAAATTTTTGTAACATAATAAAATCAATGAAAATTTAATCAGAATAATAAAATTAACATTTGTTATTTGACAGTTATAAACACTACCTGATAAGTTATAATTAGTTTTCAATTATATCAATCAAACTTCTATAAAATAACTTAAGTTATTGAATTATTTAAAAATTAATATAATTAATTTTAAAATTTATAATTAAAATATAAAAAATAAAAATGATAACCTAGGTAATAAAAATTGAGGAGCTTGATCTTTTTTTTTTTATTAAAGTTTGAAGTTATGTTTTTGAGTATTAAGCTTCCGGTAATGTGATGGATGATGGCCACGTTGATTGCGGATGCGAAACGTTGAGTGGTTGTTGGGTTTTCTGAGGGCCCAAAGCTGGACCACTTTCTTAAGATTTTAAGTGTAAATAAAGTGGTGGGGGACAATGAAGAGTATTGGTCTGAAATTGAACTCTGAAGAAAAATGGTGAAAGTAGGAAGTTACTTCCTGGACCCCACAATAGGACCATTTTGTGGACTGAAATGAAGAGATATTAAGAATTGTTTAACACTTAAAAAGGACAAATTTCATTAGGATGTTATGTTTGGGGTGAAAAATAGAAAGAGTAGTGGTCTCAGTAATTTTTAAAGGGTGTTACTAGTACAGAGAGAATGAATTACTGCCAATAGTGAAGGACTTTGACAGTCAAGGGTTCCCCAGTCCATCATAAAGTAACTAACTGGCTGGCTCTTAGCTGTGCACTATTAGATTAGTACAAACACGAATGCAATTTAAAGGCGGTCCAAATGGTTTAAATTTAAACTCAGGTCATTGATTAAACCAACAGCTGGCTAAGCTCATCTGCTCATGGCATCTTTAAAGTGATTGCCAAAACGTAATTGACCAGCTGGATTTAGCTAAAGCCCTCAAAGCCTCAACTATATATATATATATATATATATATATATATATATATAATAATCAAATGCTGACATGATTTAGTTTAACCAGTAAAACAAGATTTTGGATTACGAGGGGCAGCCAGCACAGCAGGCAAGACAGCTGAAATTTGGGACTGTTTTTATAGCTAGTCCTGTTCTATTATTCGAAATTTTAAGAATTTCATCATAATATTGACCACAAAAAAAAAAAAACCATCCACCCTTCTAAACGTGCTGGTCAATCCAACTTACCTATCTGCCTTTCATTACATATCTGTGGACCATAGCCTTTTTTGGGATATTCATTAGGTGGACCCTATTTCGCGTAATGTGAAGTTTTGCTTGCCAGCAGTTGGATCACAGACAAAATGACCTCAACATTTGTTGTAAATGTGGGGGAACAAAAGCAAGGGTAGGGATTTCTATGGAAGAATTCTGAAAGAGATACTAAAATTTGTGTATTCCTTAAAATCACCAAGACTTCATGTGGAACCTTCATCACTGCCATGTTTTCCTAATCATGGGGAATCTAAATAATGGGTTTGCATATGCAATGGATAGTATTATCAAAAGCCTCCCAGAGTAAAAAAGATATATTTCAAAAGAATCCCCTAAGCTTCAGTAGGAAAAAAGTATACATATACAATTTCTTCTCCTGGTTCTGCTTTTTGTTCCCCACCCCAATAGTTTTGAGACCCGCAGATTGGCAGCACCAATTAATTTATACATCATTGGGTAAGTAAGCACATGCACAAGTCCATCGGCAAACTTAGAATTTACAAGATAAATGCCAGGACTATTGTTTGACACTGTATGGTAATGATACCAGAGAACGTGGAGCAAGATCATCCCATGACCAAAAGGCCAAGGGACCGTTTAAAGAGCTTTTCCACAATTAAATGCTAAACATGTCGAAAATAGAAACAAATGCAATCCCCCTCCCCACCCCTCTCTCTTTTTCGTCATCATGCCGCCCTTGGAAAATATTAGAAATCAGTATGACATTCAACTCTATCCTGTGGTATGTGTACCAGTGCAGTACCACATTTTGACAAAACTGCTATCCATCTAGGAATGCAAGGTTGAAAGGAGGGAAGTAGCTTAGCTTGTCAACATTCTTACATATTATAGAACAGTTCCAAGGTGTTTTTCCTATTCTGGGCTGCGTATTCTAGTCTGCATTTGTGTCAAACTGTTGAATACACAAGGCAGTAGAGAAACCAGAGAAGAGATAAACAGCTTACATATTATTTTATATTTAAGATATAAAAGTTATAATCAATGTCAAGGCATTATACAAAGAATGTATGAGAATGGAAGAATTCAAGTTTCCTGTTCCACAATAAGAGCACCCAAGCATACACCCAATCACAAATAATTGTAAAAAGTTCTCACCAGAGAAGTGAGCTGCACCAAAGATGGCTGCGCTAAGGACAACTGCTTGCTTCCAGTTCATTGTTGAGGCAAGAGATGCCAACATGAAGCCTCTGTAAACCATTTCTTCCAGGAGAGGAGTGACGATGCAGTAAACAATAAAACAAGCAACTTTTGAGATGTCACTGCTTTGAAGCATTTTCTTCAGTATGGGGTTATTTGCATCCTAAATTTTGGATTCAAAAAAAAGAGGTGTAAGTCACATTTTTTTACAATCATTCTTCTTTCTGTTGACACATATTAGGGAATATTATGTATTGGAAATACATGAAAAAATTTATAAAGCATGCAAGGATAAAACTTCAGAGAGAAGCATGCCATATGCTTATGATTACACATCAATAAAATGCTATTAAAGCAAACAAGACATTCCAAAACGAGTTTAACATGATGGGGTAACTTTACCAAAACTCAGCATCTTTTGAAGTTTGAACTAGAAGTGCCAATGAGTCAACAAGTTCCATTCCGCTTTTCTTTTTTTTTTTTTTCGGGGGGGGGTTTAACATCATATCTGATGAAAAGAATACTAAAAGCAATGAAGAAGAAACCAACCTTTACCCCATAAAACCTGTCAGCAATGATCGATGTAAGGAAAACTAGCAAAATAAGTATCCCAAAACCCAGTGCTGATGCCAATAACCAGTTCCTGTCTGTCGACAACTTATTAAATTTGAAAAAGTTCATAAGCCTATATTTTGGTTTAATTGTGCTCTTAAGGAGAAGGAGTGTGGCAAGCAATTCCAAAGTTTCAAATACAAGCAACGATAGTGCCTGCATCAAATATAACACCAAGATAGAAAAGCAACTTAAAGAGTGTGTATACTTACAAGTAACATTTCTAGCACAATTAAGAATAGAAAATGTAAGTTTCAGTAGACCTGTCTGATGAACCATCAAAAAATGAAGTCATCACGGTCTGAAACAAAAAGGCTTCCAATTTCTTAAAGATTAAAATTTTTTTCTAAACAAACACCAGGGAAAAAGATGGTGATTTTTTTCTTGAAGTGGAAAAACAGAAATTTATCAAGATATTAGTGAAATTTATAGAGAACAAATAGGTAGTACTATTTTACAACAATAATTAGTTAAATGCTTTTAAGATTTAAATTTCTTTAAAATGTTACATATAGATTAGTATTATGATTAGTGTAAACTTATAAATACATAAAAAACCTCTGTGCCATAGATTCAAGCCTGTAAATTCAATTCATGTTTGTTCCTAGCAATGAACTCTAATACTAAGGATAAATGCTAGCAGGCATTTGGCTTTAGAAAAAATTTTAGGTCCTTAGCCTTAACTCATCTCTGGCAGCAGACAACAAGGCTCCCATTTATCTAATTCTAAACCAAGCAAACCCAAAAGGCTCAAAGAATGGCACAGAGATACAAACCACACTCTTCATTGCTAATCTAAATGTATTAAAATCAATCACATTATGCAATATAAAAATAATTAAAAACAAAAAAAGGCACTAAATTACCTGAGTCTGGGGTTCAAGAACAGGTTGATGCAAGATATAAGCACCAATTGACAGGCCTCCAAAACCCAAAGGAATATGCAAATTGAACATATAAATAGCCATGGTACTCCATAAACTCCCTGTCTTCCATGGAATATCTGATGTCAACACAGAAAAGCCCTGTTCATCCCCATATTACAAAACCCATTTCCACAATTTGATCAGAAACCGTAACAAATAGTTAGCTAAGTTAAATTTAGTTCATAAAGATAAAAACATGAAAGTAACAGAGGTTACCTGAGTGGATTGATCTGTATTTCTGTTCTGGGTGCAGTGACACTTGAGAAAAGTGGTACTTACTTTAGAACTAAAAGAAGAGGAGTATGGTAAATGGTTGGTAGATATGGCAAGTGCTTCGCTCAAAAGGCCGCAAAATATAGGTTTGGGATTAACAGTAGGCCAAGCAAGAATCATTTTTGGTTTGGATTTCTTTACCCGCGGCGTCTCAACTATAGGAAAGCGGAAGAAAAAGAAAATTGTGATTGTCATGTGTAATATCTGAACTAAAGTTAGGTGGTGGTTCAGTTTTTTTTTTTTTTTTTTTTTTTGGATTAAAACTATTAAATTTAAAAATATTATTTTTTATTCAAATAATTTATAAATTTAATTTTGATTCAATAATCCAAAAAACTTTAAAAAATTACATTAATTTAAGTGAAACTCTTCATATTAAAATTAATACTATTATTATATAATAGATAAACATAATCCGATGGAAGATGCATAAAATAAAATGAAGCTAAGATGCTAATTTTGGAAAACAGGAATGAGACATGAATACTGTTAATGTTTGCTTGAAACATCTTATGTATTGAGCTTTTTGCAAAAAGGAATCTGATAATTGACATATAAATACTTATGTGTTTTCTGTAATGTTAAGCTTTTAAAGAAAGCTAAATACGTAAGTGTTAGTATACTATACTAGACTATCTTATGTATAATTATCGTATTTAGTATACAAAATTATAATAGAATAAAATAAAATAATATTATGAATAAAATTAGATTAAATAATATCATTTTATTTTACGTTTGAAATATATAAGAATTAAGATAGAATAATTTATTTATTTTATCAAAATTTATACAATTTAAATTATTGATAAAATTTTTAAGGGTATATTTAAACATGTAAGTTTAACTTCATAGATTAAAAATAATCTTCTTCACTTGAGAAGAATTGAATAATCTTATAGCAAGATGATATTAATCCTCTTTATAATTCTTATTTTTCTTTTTAGAAACAAATTAAACATAATATAAGATAATTATTATCTTATCATATCAATAATTCTATGCGTCAAACAGAATCAATAGTTGTTATAATGCTATACTATAGTCCACCTTATTCCATATCTTTGATTAGGATCATGTAAAAATAGAATCAAAGTATATATAAGTTACATATTAAGTCAAGTCAAAGAAGCATTTAAAGATAATTTGGATGAACGGTGAAATTAATTTTAATAAAATTAAAAATAATAATGGAGGTAAGATTAATTATTATAGCGATGAGATTAATTATTATAACAGTAAAATTAAAATTAATGATAAAATATGTGTTTGGATACAAATGTAATAATAGTAGTAAAATGAAGAGCAGAGAAAAAACAATTATTAAAAACATTAGACTAAGGTGTGCATGAAATAAAATTTTAAATAAAATAAATTCTTTTTAAAAATTATAATAAGATAGTTACTCCAATTGAAACTAAATAAAATAATATTCAATTATTCATTATTTTTATATTTATTTATATATTTTTATCCAAATAATAATTATTTCACAAAATAATAGTAATAATAATAACAACATTTACTCATATAAAATAGCCAATGTTTTATTTTATTTATTATTTATTTAGTTATTTATTTTAGTTAATTTATATTAATTATAAAGATATTTATATTTATTCATTTATTAATAATTTATTTCATTATAGAACTTATTATTTTTATGTGTGTATTCAAATTTTAGTTATTTATATATTAATTAGGTTATTTTATAATTATAAAAAATTATTTTTTAATATTAGATTAAAGAATTTGTTTGAAATTTGTTAAATAAAAATAAAAAGAAAAAGACTAAATGGCATGGGCTTTTATGCGTACACTATAGCTACAAGGGGGAAAAAAAGAAAGAAACATAGTATAACTGAAAATTAATTTGCTATGAAAGTTAAAAGTTTTCACTAGACTTGTAAGGTTTAGTCCGAATTAGGAGTGATAACGATTTTGGATTGGATCAAATTCAATTCAATATTTTTGGATGATGTATATTATTATGAATTTTTAAAATTTGATTCGAATTTTAGTTGATATTTTTTTTAAAATTGATTCGATTTAAACTAAATTTTACTGGTTTAGTTCAGATTTTTATTTTTAAATTTATATTTTTATAGATTATTTTAATAAAATTTTTAATATATTTAAAAATATTTAAATAAAAAATAATTATTTTTATTTTATAAAAATTTAAATATATAAAAAACTAATAAAAATATATAATTTAGTTCGATTCGATATTTTTGATTTTTTACATCTCAATTTAAAATTTAATCTGAACTTAATATATATTTTAATATTTAAATTTGATCCAAATTGAATAAAAAAAAATTGATCTAAACTAAACTGAACACTATAATTCCAAATCGGCTTTCAAATTTTTTTTCACCCCTAATCGAAATTTGGGGTTGCGATATTAGTGAAAACAACTCCAGTGAGCAATAGAAATGGGATCCAAATGAATCATCAACATGATTGGAGGTGCTAATTGCATTTTATTTCACCGACACCAATTATGGATCTAAATGGACCCTTATTCAATTATCATATGAAAATTTTGTCCTAAACGCTTAAATGATCACCAAAATGTTGGGTGTACTAGTTGTTATAATTAAAAATCTATAAGTTTAGTTCAAATATATCTATTCTTTAACTTATGTAATTGTTACATTAATAAAATTTTACCATAGGTACCTAAGTGATTATCAAATGACATTTTCTTATATCAATTCATATTCAATATATTAACTCAAATATATCTATATTTCAACTTATGCAACTACCATATGAGAATTTTACTATTGATAATATAAGTGATTATAAAATAACATTATCATATTTAGTGTACTTATTTTTATAATAAGAACTTCCATGTTTAATTTAAGTATATTTATACTTCAACTTTTGAGGTCGATTATCTACTTCACCTGAACATGTATTTTGAGATCATACTTTTAATATTAAAAGTATTTTGAAAATTAAAATTAATAGAAGCTATTGAGATCCGTACATCGTTAATATTAAAATTTGAAATCATACTTTCAATTTTATTAACATTTATCATTATACTTTTAATTTCATTGGAATAAAAATAACAAAATTAAAATGTTTCACCTGGTATTTTTTTTAATACAAATAGTACATTTTATGAATATATTTTAATTTTGTTGATTTTTTAAAAAATATACAAGTAAAATCTTTAACATAGTACCTTTGCCAACGAAAATGATAAATTTGCATTTTACTAAAATATTATAAAATTCTTGAAATATTTTATTTTTAATAAAATTTTTATATTTTTATTGTACCCAAATAAATTTTTATTTTAAATAAAAAATTAATTTATATTATGAGTTTATTTAAGTATAAATTCAAATTAAATACATATTTGAATATAAATTAAAAATTAAAAATTTATTTGAATGTAAATTAAAAATTAATAATGTATAATAAAAATTTATTTAAATAGCGATAAAAATTCGTAGTTTTTTTTTTTTTATTATTACTATTATTTTGGCTTAGTGACATTCAGACTAGCTATAATAAAGCATTTTTTTTATAAAATTTTTCTGACTACTGGAACGTACAAATTAAGACTTGGATTTGCCTGGATTGGAAAGGGAAAACAACGCAGAAAACATGGAGAGCGGGGCCTTGCTGGTGGAGCTCCAAAGAAACTCGACAAATTTTGCAAAGGTAGTAGAAGAGATTGTGAAGATGGAAAAAAAGATTTTCCCCAAGCACGAATCACTTGCTAGATCCTTTGATGAAGAACTGAGAAAGAACAACTCTGGATTGCTTTACATGACGGATGTTCATGGAGAAGTTGTCGGCTACGTCATGTATTCTTGGCCCTCTTCACTTTCGGCTTCCATCACAAAGCTTGCAGGTATTTATCCTCTCTTCTAGTCATCCCGAATTCTTCCTTCTAACATTGGCCGGTAACATGTTCGACTAAAGTACCAACTGAATATTACCTCATTTTGTTTTATAAATATGTCATGTCCGATTGTTGTTTTTCTTCTTTTGGGTCTAAATTGGTTGCTGGAAACTAACAAAAAAGCAGTGAAGGAGAGCCATAGAAGACAAGGCCATGGGGAGGCATTATTAAAAGCAGCAATTCAAAAATGCAGGACCAGAAATGTCCATCGGTTAGCACTTCACGTTGATCCTTTGAGAATTGCAGCCATGGGTCTTTACCAGAAGCTTGGTTTTCGAGTTGATAGCTTGATCAAGAGCTACTACTCCGCTGATCGAGATGCCAATAGAATGTATTTGGATTTTGATTCAAACTAGTGGAATAAGCTTAAAAACATTTGCCATTGTAATTTATTTGGGTTCAATGAAAAAGAAGCTAATATGGAAGCGTGCATTCAACGAATCATTTTGTTTTTGCATTCAAACTGGCCAATATGTCAATCAATCCAGTGATAATGAAGACCTTGGGCACATGTTACCTACCAAGCTTAAACAAACATTTTGGTTTTATGATTCAACTCATTTCCTTAAATTTTTTTGGGTGCAAATTCAAATCATTTGCATTTACATTTCACAAAATAGAAATGACCAATGGCGGAGTTGAATTTATGTTAGTGATATAATATATTAATATTGTTTGAAAATTTTTAAAACATAGATAAATCAATCTTTTTATGTATATTCATCACATTGATTGAAATGTCAAAAAGAAATGATTAAAACGAAAAAAAAAAAAAAAAAGTATTAAGGAGAACATTGTTGCGTATTTAAAAGGACTAGTAACTGTGTCAGTTACTTTACAATGACATTTCAATTTAATTATCTTGTATTTGTTAAATAATAATTTTTATATATGTAATAAATTTTACTTAAAATTTTATCATCGAGTTCTCTTCGGTAATTTATTAGTACTAATTTCTTTAATAAGTTGCATGCAATTAATGCGACAATAAAATATACTTATGTTCTAGTACTAAAAGAAATAACTTAGTCCAAGTTAAAATTTTATTATATCCAAAGTTGACGCATAATATCACAATTAACTTGCAAAATAAATTTATTGAACATAACCAAAATATAGCAAATATTTTGATAATTCAAGAATCTTACAAATAAGAAAACTTCAAATCGACAATCCTAAAAAAATTAGATGTGTTGGAGATCAATGCTTTCCACTTTTCAATGTTGCTTGCTTTTTAATTTTTGCAAATCACTTTAAGCAAATCATTAATAATTTTTTATGTTTGATGTAGAAAATTTTGATTTTTAATTTTTTAAAGTTACATTCATAATAAAGTATTATATTCATATAATCAATTATTACATAACCAACTGATAAATTATAACTCAATTAAACAATTAAAGAATCCAACAAATTAGTTTTTATTATGAATGCAATACAAAACAATACCATTCTTATTTGCTCTCGAGCTTTGTTGATTCGCTTAAATCGAAATGGATATCCTTTCATTTTCAATAGGTGAGATTAGAATTCTTGACTTGTTTTCCAACTTGTTGACCAACTATTATCGCAACATGTATTACATTATCCCAAAATGTTTCCATACCATTCTTGTTCCATAGCACAAACCATTGATGAGCCTGAATTCCTTAAAAGTATGATCCAACAATTAAGTTTTAAGACTAAACTATAAAGAACTAGAATGAATAATCTGTAATTATATATAAAAACTATCCCCATACTCAATTTACTTCAATTTCTTTCCAAATCAGTATTTTTACTGTTCATTTCTAATGCGAAATCAGCACATTTCATTACCACATCAATTTTATTAAATATTATTATATTTAACTACGTTGACTCATGTGACACATGTAAAAAGGCCTCTTAAAGGACTCATAAAATTTATCGATATTTAGGCCTAATAAACAAAGGAAAAGGAAACTCATGTGATTACTGTCAAATTCTTTTGCATGAGATTTACATGGAGATTCCTTTTCACAAGAATGCATGAGAAATAAAGAATAAATTAAATGAGTAAACCCTAAAGTCAACTCAAGTCAAAATTACACAAAACTTGGTAGAATTGGAGTTAATCTCCAAAGTTCAAAGTCTAATTGATATCAATGTAGTTTAAAATTAAATTTGATGATTTTTAAAACACTAAAATTTTTATTACAACGAGGAAGTACAAAATTATCAAACTACTCCTATAAGGGATATTTTCGTAAATTGACCTTCCCAATAATGGATTTTCATGAAACTTTTCAAATCTTAATTTCATAATATTTCATAATTTTTGGTGCATTTAAATTACAGCCATACCTCAGGAAGTGTGAAATTACCAAAATACCCCTATAAAGGTTTTTCATAATTTGACTTTCTTGAGCTCAAATTTTCATGAAACTTTTGTGATCTTAATTTCATAATATTTCATGAATTTTAATGTATTTGAAATCACAAAAGTACCCCGAGAAGTGTGAAATTATGAAAATCCCCATATAAAGTTATTTTCATAATTTCACCTTTTTGTGCTTGGTTTTTTTTGTAGAACTTTCCAAATCTCAATTTTATAATTTTCATGATTTTTGGTGTTTTAAAATCCTAAAAATAAGCATGGGAACATTGATTTCTAAGAAAATGGCCTAAATACCGAAAACTTTGCACTATGGGTAAAATAGTCTTTTCATGTGTTTGGAAGATAAAAATTCAAATTTTGTTGTGAATAATGTGGACCATTGGATCTTTTATTAATCTTGATCCAATGGTCAAAGGTGACTCCTTGAAATAATAAAAGGACAAGCTTTGACCTTTGGATGAAACCTCATCCGACAGTCTATATTTATCAAGAATGAAATCTTTTTTTTGAGTTAACTATTAAAGGGGGTTAGGAAGTTCTGTTAAAAGAGGAGGAGAGGGCTGAAAGGTTGGGAAGATATTAGCCAAACACATAAAAAGGGAAGGGAAAGAAGCTGATGAAAAAAAAAGAGGGGGGAAGAAGTCGAATAGAGAGGTGAAGGAGGAGAAGAAAAGAGAAAGAAAAAGAGAAGCTACTGCCAAAAGAAAGAGGTTGGAGAGGAAGATGCCAAAGAAAGAAAGAAGAAGAAGCTGCCAAAAGAAAGATGAAGAAAGCTACCGAAAAGGGGAAGAAAGGAAGCAAGCCAAGGTAGAAAAGTTTCAATTTGACTTTCTTTGTTTTTTCATGCGGCATGATTACAATTGCTTTTCTTTGTTGTTTTTAGCTATTGTAGTGTTCTCATTTACATAATTTAGAGTGGACATAATTGATTTCCTTTTCTTTACATGCTATATGCATCTTCGGCTTGACTTCATGGAAATTTTGGTTAATGCATTTCCAAGTTGATTTGTTTAATGCTAAGTTGGACTTGGTCATTGATTTTTAAATATTCATTGAATCCATTGGTCTTTATGGCATGATGAATACTTATGAAAAGGCTAGAATTTCTTTTTCTATTGTGGTTTTTTCACTTGTAAATAGTATTGTTTCACCTATTTCTTTTTGGATTGTTTACAACTTTACAAAGTTTTGAAAAGATGCTGAAATTTTTACAATAAAGCTTATTTTCATATATGTTTTATATCATCATTTATATTTCTCTAATGTTGTTTCAGATATGATTATAATTTAAATCCATGCATTTTCCTTTCATTGCTAGTTTGGTTAAATTTCCATGTTCATTTTTATCTTTATGCAATTTAGCTTTTGCACTTTAATTTATTTTTAAATGCAAATATGTTCTTCATTTATTAATAATAAATTAAATGAAATTTTTTTAGGATGATATTTAAAGAAATCCGAGTAGTGATTCTCTAAAATATCTAGGTGAGGATATTTTTGTAAAAATACTACCAAAGTAATAGAGTATTTAGAAAATATTCAATACAAAAAAGTTTCATTTGTCTATTTTTTTTTTTAAATTTTGATAGATGTTGGTAAGAATGTAAATTGACTTCTTTTAATAATGAATTAATATAATCAAAGTTTAAAAATTAGATCAAGGAAGATATAATTAATTAAGTAAGAAATGACAAAGTGAATAAAAATTTTCGATAATGGGATTCTACGGAAGTCTGAGTAAAGATTCCCAAGAAATCCTTAGGTGAGAAAATTTTTCTAAAATACCGCCAAAGTATCGGGGTATCTAGGAAAATTTTCAATAAAAATTTTTATTTACTTTGTTCATTTGAAAAGTGTTAGTGATAATTGGAAGATAAGTAAAGATGATTGAAGCATAATCAATATATTTTTTGTATGCATATTCTACTTTATTGTTTGCAATATATAGTTTAAATGCAAATGAAATTTTTGATGATAGGATTTTGATAAATCCAAGTAATAATTCCCAAAAATTCCCTAGGTGAGAAAAGTCTTCTAAAAATTATCAAAGTATTGAAATATTTAGAAGTTTTTTTTCAATACAAAAAATTTCCATTTTATCATTATTCTTAATTTGAGTTTTTTTTTTTTTTAATGAAAATATACACTTTTGGAAACAAATTTGTTTATAGATAATAATGTTGTTAAATGATTGTAAAGTAATGAGAATTTTTTATGATGGGACTCTAGGAAATCCAAGTAGAGATTCTTGAGAATTCCTTAGGTAAGAAAAATCTTCTAAAAATTGCCAAAATATTGGAATATTTAGAAGTATCTTTTTAATGCAAAGAATTTTCATTGTTTAATTATTTTTCTTAATGGGAATGATTTTTCTTAAAAAATAAAAGTGTTTTAGGAAATAAATGCATTTGTACATAAATATATTATTACATGACTTTCAATAATTTTTAAAATCAGACAAAAGAAATCTTCGAGGATGAGATCATAAAGAAATTCGAGTAGTGATTTTTTAGGAATATTTAGGTAAGAAAATCTATTTAAAATGCCATCAATGTATTAGAACATTTAGATTAATTTCGATAAGGATTTCTTTTTTTTTTAGAAAAGAGTTTTTAGAAAATACTATTTGCTTTAAAATTATAAATATTATATTTTATAAATAAATGCTGGAAATGAATATTTTTAGGATTTTTTTAATATAAGGTTCTTATTTATTTTTCCAACTTACTAAAAATAAAAATTGTGTTTTCAAAGAAAATTAAAGAAATTAATTTTTAAATGCCAAAATTAAGACCATTTTAGTCAATATTAAAAGATAACACATAATTAATTAGTATCATTTTAAATGGGCGCTATAGAGGTGCTAATCCTTCTTAACGTGTAACCAACTCCTAAACCTAAACTATTTTTCGTAGCTATCTTTTTAATAAAATTTTAATAAATTTTAAAATTTTATTAAAATGATAAGTTTTAATAGGTGGCTAATCATATCTAGCCAAAAAAGATTGGTCGCGAGTCCATTTTTTTTGTTTTCCAAATTCGTTTAATGGTCTTCAAAACCATTACGACAGCTTGGCGCTCCACTGGGATGTTATTTTTAGAGAGTCAGGCCAAAAATTAATAATGTGTTATCCTTAATTTTAATTTAATGG